GGTCACCACTACTGTTTCATCCGCGGTGTCCTTCTTCTTCTTCTTTTTCTTCCTCTCTTCCTTTCCTTTCTCCCTTTAGAGGAGAGACGCTGCACGTGAGAGGATCGCGAGAACATCACTCATCTCCCCTTTCCTCGGCCATTATTTATATGCTAATGAAAAAGCCATGAAAAGGCGCGATATCGGCCTACCTTGGACCCCCTCCACCAAGATCATCCTCCAGATGAGAGAGCAGGATGTTGATACTGTGCGGGATTACGTAACACAGCCGATCCTCAACGGCTACCGTGATAATGAATCCGAGCTAGTGGAATAGAAGGAACGAGGAGAAATCTTTTACAAGTATTGGAAGCGGTGAATTATAGAAGATAAAGAAGATTTGGCGGAGGTGAACGTTATTTATCTTTGTCCTTGAATTGATTTCTGTCCGGTAGAATTGGAATATCTTTGGAAAATAATTTGGGGAAAGTTGAATGATTCGGAAAAAGTTAAATCGAGACGAAGGAATTTTTTAAATACATTGAATTTATTAAATATTTAATAACGAATGTATTAAATCGTTGTTAAAAACTATCCTTACATTCCTTTAAATTCATACGCTGACAAGCTCTAAGGAAAAATTAGATCCGCTAATAAACCAGAAAAACTCGCCTTCAACCCGAAGCGACAGAGCAATCAGAGAAACGAATTGAACTAATCTCTCCGCCTACCATTTCGCCCTTAAGCTAGCCAACGAGCTGCCTCGACCATTTCAACCTTATTATTTAAAATGTCCGCGAAAACGTCCGTGGATAGATAGAATCGGTATTCCGTGCGGATGGCGTTTTAATCAAGATCGTGTCATTTCGCCCGTCTAATGCCACCAGCTACGCCAGAAACCAACGTTTCATCCGTTTTATCCCGCCATGGATATTTGCATAATCTAACATCTCTCGGCCGATTGGACCTTAGAATGGAACAACACGACATTGTCGTTTCCTTTTTTTTTCTTGAAAAAGAAAAACAAAATTATCCTTGCTTTGCAAACGAATCGTTGCAAAAAATGACGATTAAACGATAGAAGAAAAAATGGATAAAGGATAGTTATTATTTTTTTCAAAGAGTATAGCATAAAGTTTGAGGCATAATAACGAAATAACTCCAAGGAAAATTATATTAGGCCGAATAGAATTTGTATGGTCTACATGTCATTTAAACACGTCGAGTATTTCTTTAGATTAACAATTCGAAATGTAAAAATATGAAGAATTAAAAATCGGCGGAACCGATTAATAAAACCTGTCATTACCGACCTTCGCAATATCGAACGGGATAAATATATCATACAAATAATTGGAGAAAAATTCGAAGAATAAATATCTTCATCCATCTATGTCAACTTAAATTTCCATTAATTCCTTAAAATAATTTTTCACATTATTATCGAGATCGAATTCCTTTTTTTTTTCTTTTCTTTTCTTTTCCACAACACAACATGCACAGAATCTTGCAACACGAGCAATTAGATTGACGATTTTAAATCAGAGTGAAAGGGGGGGGGGAGAGGGTGGCCTCGAATCGATTAGAATTCGACGATCGTATTAGGAACCGGTTATAAACTCCATCCTGAGGAATAACGAGGGCGAAGACTCGATCTTTTTTTCTTTTTTCAAGGACACAGAAGTCGTCAGACGGATGCAGGTTGACGTCTAGCATTTTAAATTCTCGATCGTAAATGAAACGAAGAGAGGATATATATCTGTCGAGACCGGTTTCCGTTTATGCGGAAAAATTATCTGTTTCCTCAATTTTCTTAAATGGAAAAAAATTTTGAAAATTAAAGGAAACGCGTTAGGGCCATTAGACAGGATCAACGTTTCGAAGGGTTGTTACAAGATGTTGGATAGATAATATATGGTTTACGAGGAGGATAGTTAATTCAATTATATCGATATTAAAGTAAAATAAAATTAATAATGTAACAGACTGTGTGTATATTGAGATATTAATAGACGTTAGATTTGTAGATTTTTTTGGGAGGAATTTGTTTTGATATAAATAGATGATAAATAGATTATTATCTGTAAATTGAATTAGAATATATTATAATTATAAATGAAATTAAATTTTTCACAATTGATAGATAGAAAATAATATTTAAATTTTGAATTTAAAAATCAATTCATTTTACTACACATTGTACCTATAAATTTATATATATATATATAAATTTTTACAAACTCACTTCACGTTTAAAAACTTAGTTTTAATAAGAATCAATGTAATTTTAAACAAAATCTACTAGTAATATAAACAACTATACAATTCACCAATATTAAAAATACAATACATGCAATAATAACTTAATAAATTAATAAAAAGAATAATACAATACTTCGAATTCATGCGAGTTTCGAACGAATCAGAGACAACGTACGAACACATGTTGAAATTATACACACGTAAATACAAAACTTAAAAACTTACTCAGTTGCGATTGCTTTCCTCGAGCCGTTCATTTTACGATACAAGCATGTAGAAAAATTTATTCGAGGCGACTGTTTGCACGAACGAACAAAACAACAAACTTACTTCGAGGAATATACACAGCGGAGAAGAGGATCAGCCAGCGTCTTCATAAAAGTAAAATCATTTCCTGCAGCAGGTACGGTATTCTCCCCGTAGATTTGACGAGCACGCTTGCCCCACCTGCCTTGGAATGTGCCTCGAAAGCGCAAAGTGAAAACAAATACCCTCGATGTACCTGTCCTCGACGAGGGCAGACGGTAGGTACCCCACGAAGCGGCCCTCTAGGGAATTGCCCACGACGACCTTCGAGAACCCCTCGACTAGTTCCTTCGAGAGGGAGAATCGTTCGGCGTGCACGCCAGATTTTCAAAATACGCACGATACTTTCTTTTCTAGTGACTTTTGATCATGAAAAGTAACGTCTTAATGTTTCAGAATTATTAATTTAACGTAATGTAACAACATAATAAATGTTATTTTAGAAATTTATTATTATCCGTGTTTTATTGATTCTATGTAACTTGTTTAACCTGTCTAATAATTGAATCTTCAAAGAAAAGAATTCTAAAAAAAAAAAAAAGAAAAAGCTCGAATCTAACACATCTACATTATTATTATTATTATAGTGGCTTTTCAAACTGATTTTTACAAAGTTGGTCGATTAACAACAATCGATACCGCTTCGGTGAAATGAAAAAAACAGGTAGATTAAAAACAGGTTGATCGGGGGTTAAAAAAAATCCACCTGATCCCAAACCCAGGGAACAGGTCTTTCAAAAAACTCCCCTCCACAAAAACTTGTTGATTCCACGACTATACAGAGGGGAGAAGCGACGAAATAGGTAATAAGGATCGCGCCTTAGAAGAGAAACTTTCCTTGGAAAGAAAAAAAAATAAGCAAAAAAGAAAAAAAACTCAGTTTTCATCCTCACACAACACACAAGCCTCGTGCGCGAGGGTGTACGATTCCCCGTGGGGCAACGTTGCCTCCTCGAGGGGGGGAAAAAATCGGATCCAAGGCGTAGTTAACGGTTCTGAGAGGTACCATCTCGACGACCCTAAATCTCTCGAGCGTACTGGGGTAATGGAGGAAGCTGGCTAACATTATTGCCCCGCGTTAATCACTATAACTTACAGCCCCCTAAGCCAACTTGTTGATTTAAACGTCGGAGGAGACCACGACCGGCTTCCTCCTTCTCCGCATCGAATATTGCGGCTAATTGGACAAATTAATCCGTCCACAAGAGAGGATATGAATGTTCGTGTAAAAATGAAATAGCTTGGCATATATCGTGGAAAATTGATAATTCTTTTTTGAGGATGATTTAACGAGAATATTTGGTTATGAAACGTTATTGAAACGTTACATCCATGGGATATAAATTATAAGTGGATATTTTTAAGATGTTGAGAGGAAATTTAAAACAAAAAGAAAAAAAAAAAACGATTTATGAATATACCGTGTTAAGATTCACGATAATTATGATGTTGGAAAGTAAAGGATAAAAGTTTAAAGTCAATATTTTGGAAGATTTAAAATTTGTTGTAACTTAGCACGTTACGTGTTCATGTATTAGATATAAATTGAGAGTTAAACAAAGTAAATAATAAGAAAATAATAATTCGAAAATCACCTTTCCAATCGCAACATAAATCTTAAGAGAGAAATCAATTCTAAACACAATGATACGAAAAAACAAATCATACCTTCGTCATCAGTAGAATTAAATCCACCCAATCATCCCTTTCCTTCTCCTTTATCCAAAATCGACCAAAAAATTTTTATTTTTGTACTTCCCTCTCTCGAATCGCATCTCGAAATGCAATTAAAATTCCAATTGAAAAGTGTCATTTGAAATTCAATGACCCCCATTGAACAAAATTGTCGAAACGAATCGTTTCCATCGATCCCCAGAAACGTCTCCCCATAGGGAGAGCCGACGAGGTCTCTCCTCTCCTTCGACCTGTCCTCCTCCTTCTCCTCCTTCGAACAGGTCTCCCTTCGACATCGAAAAAAATATCCACCCTTTTGATCGCGGTTCACGTTTTAAAAAGGGGTTCGAAAGGAAGAACCCCGGCGGTGTTCTATCTGGAAACCGGAGAGGAAGGATCCACCGTGCGCGAGGGGGTGGCCGCGGGGGTGAAGAGGCCAAGCGCGCACAGGTCGGGGTGGTAGGTTGGATTAGCGTCGGGGAGGGTGTCAGAGGAGGGAGAAGAGCGGCAGATGGTCGGCGTGGACCCTGACGTGGGAAGCTCCGAATTCTCCAAGTTCCCACAGCCAGAGTGCACCTGCCCTCCCCACTCTGTCACCCCGTCCTGCTCGCCTGGGCCTATATAAGGCCCGGGGTTGCTCGTCTAAGGCATCATTCGCTCACTAGCGTTTCGTTCCAAACCAACTCATCAGAAAGCACACGCAACTTTTTCGAGTCTTCTTCAAGTCTCGAATCAGCACACAGCTTTTTCAAAAGAGAAAAAGAGAGAGAGAGAGAAAAGAAAAGAGTTTTGCCGCGAGTTCCAGTGAACATCGTACGAGGGAAAGAGAGAGAAACAGAGAGAGAGAGAGAGAGGAGGGGAAGAGAAGATCGTATTTAAAACCGGTTCAAGCCGAGTGTCTTCCTCGCACGAGACAAGGAGAAGAGCAAAGATGGCCGCCGCCACTATGAGCCACGTGTTCGATTACGAGAACGAGCTGAACGATAATCTGTACAATCTGAAGATGTCGGGCAAGGGTGCTAGGACGCCGAAACGGGTGAGGAGCGTGTTGAGGCCGATTCTGAAGTTGTTGAAGAAGAGGACGAGCAGAGGGAAGGTTGGAGGGAAGGGTCAGAAGGCGATGCCGCAGGTGGAGATATTCACCGAGGAGGTTGACAATCAGAATAATGCGAACGAGGCGTTGGAGAGGAGATTGTTGGCCGAGCTTCAGGATGCAGAGGAAGGGGCAGCTATCACTGTCTGTTTGGACGGGCAAATGACAGTTGTGCCCGTTGTTCCTGGCCAGTGCTACGTGCCCGTACATTTCGCGCACACCCACGCAGGGGACTTCTACTGGACGACTCTGAGCATGACCGACAGTGATCTGTGCTACAAGGAGCGCGCCTTCTCGCAGCATCAGACACCTGAGATGCAGGTTGCGTGAAGAGGATCATCTGGTGTAACCTCACATTACTACCTCAACGACGGAGAAAAAAAATCAAAAATAATCTCTTCGATCTCGTCGAAGAAGTATCTTGATCGCGAACAAGACCTTGAACTGAAAGGAGAAGAAGAAGAAGAAGAAGAAGAAGAAGAAGAAGAAGAAGAAGAAGAAGAATTCCTCGTCGTGCCTCGCCGAATGTGAAGATTCGACGAGGAATAGAGGGAACTTTTGGGTGATATCTCGAGATGGAGGAGGAAGAAGGTGAAGAAGAAGCATGCTGTCTTGAAGATATGAGAGGTGGTTCCCTCGAAGGGGTTCGTTCTATCAGAGACTGCGACTTTAGATAAGATAGTATCGAAACTGTGATAAATAGATTGTAGTTTTCCAACTGATCTTTCGCCGAGAAAATCTCGCTCTCTTTGATTCGATGATTTTTTTATCAGTTGGAGAGATTATTCCATTTTTTTGATTCCTTTTTTTTTTTTTTTTTCCCTAAACGAATACCGCGACAATATAGAAAGTTGATCGCAATTGTGATATTTGTACCTATTCTAGATTAATTATTGTAAATGTATACTTTGTGATATTGGCTTTAACATCGTCGTATTGACGAGACTTCCTACTACTGTCTTCCAATTTATTAAGAATATAATAATAATAATAAAAAAATTGTAAGCGTATAATTGTATTCATCAACCCTTCAACCAAATTAATTATTAAGTTGCTAATTGCCTATAAGCTTTCTTACGAGTCATCGTTCTATTTACAAAAATGAAAAAAAAAAAAAAAAAGGAATATTCTTATAAACTAATTCGAATATTCCTTCAAAAAGATACTGGATGAAAAAAACCTTTAGAGAAAATTCGAATTCACCTGCGATCCCTTGGAAATGGTTAGCCCTTCGTAAAGTATTTTCGAACAAAGGTTCACAGTTTGAAAAGAGTCCATTCATACCTGAAACTGGTTTAAAGAAAGCCTCGAGGGTCTTTTCAGCCCTTCGTCCTGAGAAGAGAAAAGAAATCTTTGAGGAATTTCGAATTCTTGGCGGGAAAAGATTTGACCTGAGATACTACGAGGCTATATAGAGATTTTCGACAAAGGTTTTTCTTCCGAAATTACTATTGAAAACTGAGGGGAGGGGTAAGAAAAATTTCTCACGAAATCGTCAATTTCTCTTTGTTATTCGACGAAGGGAATTGTTAAGCTGATTATTGTTATTTGTAATTATAGAAACGAGGGAAGGAAATTTCTATAATCAGATTCTTATATTTTTCCAGATAATTAAGAAAGCTATCTATCTTCCCGTTTACTTTCAATTATCCTTTTTTACACGGTTAATCAATGTACACACCTGTGATTCCTCGTATGAAGTAGAACAGGTTTCTTATATAACGATGAAGATATTGATCAAGTTTTTATATTTTCAAGATTATATTATCGCGTTGAATATTTAATATGTTTGAATATTGACAAAGTTTTTATCACGTAATTGTTTCTTGCAAAGGGTTTTTTTCTTTGATGAAATTAGCGAATAATTAACGAGGTGTCGATGTTTTTTTTTAATTCAAATAATACCTGGGATAACGAGGATATCAATGTAGAAATGGTTAATTTTCACATAACGATTTAAGGAATCGAGGTTTAATAAAAGTTTAATATAAAATAAAAATGCAAAAAGAATTTTTCACGGACAATTAGACAAAGGTTTATTGAAAATAGGCACACGTGTTGCCCATATGTGACAAGCACATGTCCGTCACACTTTGGATGGGGTGCGTGAATTCACATGATTTCCCGTGACCAGTTGGGGGTAGTCGATCCCCCAAAAATAACAAAAGATCACGGCATGCTCGATGCTCGTGTATCAAGACAGTAATACAATAATGACAGGGGTGCATAATTCGAGAATGGCTCACCGATAGGGTTAACCCAATTTTATGTTTGTTTAACGGTCAGTAGACCGCGAATCACCGAGTGAATGTTGAATGTCCATCCCTTTTCGAAGGGATGAGAGCGCAAATGTTGGATTAAAGCGTAGAATATCGTTGAATATCAATTAACATAACGGGGATAATTGAAAGAAAATTTCTCGATCCTTTATTTTTTATTATAAATTTTCTTTGAATGGATAAAATTGATTTTAAAGATAGATTATTTATGGTATTGTAAACATTATTGGGATTTTGGATGTAGAGATAGATATCCTCGTTAGAGAGATTTATTATTATATAAATAGAAATATTTGGATTAATTGTGCAATGTTATTGCAATTAATTTTTTATTTGTTCATTTATTCTTTTGGATATAATTTATTAAGATATTGAAAAAATTAAAATATTATATCAAATACAGATATAATATTAATTTTTAAAATTAATAAAAATAATAATATGTAATTCAAAGTATAGAATTGGTAAGTATCTAATGTAGATACAATCATCAAAAAAATTAAAATTTTGAAAAATTAAAAAACAGATGGTTAGGTAGAATCCTAGCCATCCCAATTGCCTATCCCAAAGTGTAGGCAACCCTTCGTGCTATCCTGCATTAAGAATAGAATACTTGGTTGAAAAAAATGGTCCCTAAAATAATTTACGTCCGTACAATCTTGCACTCGTATTTTTCAATAAAATACAATTTAAGAAAAAATGTGATATAAATAATAACAAATAGGAAATCAGAAAATTAATTCTAATTTAAAATATATTTTATAACAAAGAAAAAATATTTTGTTTTGACTAAACAAAGTAATATGTAATAAATATATACATTTTTTTTATTAAAAAATTATAAGAGCCTCTATGAAAAAATGTTATACTTTTTTAAAAATAAGATACATTAATTTCTCCAATTTTTATTAATATGTATAAAGCACACAAATTTTTTTACCCTGCAGTTTGTAATTTTCTACAATATTCTTAAATTAAAAATTTTGTCACTTTTTTTTCGAATACATTTGTATGAACTACATACAACTATATAATTTACTTTCAAACTTCTCGAGAATATTTTTAGTAAATTGCACGGTATATCAATGAAAGCGCGCGTGAGAGAAAAAAAGAAGAAATTATACATTACACTTGATAGAAGTAGAAATTGATGAGAGTTGAAAATTGAAGATAAAGATTTTTAAGAAAGATAATTATGTCATTCACGTGAAAATTGGATTTATATACTTTTATATGATACAAACATCAAGTGTACAACATATTTTATCAACAATAAAAATCAATTTTCAAATAATTTATTTTATTTCCGATTTTATATAACAAATATTTGATATTTTATAATTTATTTAACAAACATAGTTAAATTAATATTATTTCACTAAAATTTAAGAAATCGATATAAATATTGAGTATACAAATATTGTACAAATTTCTCCTTTTAACATTCCCCTCAAAAATTAATTTTTTTCATAAATATTTCATTCTTATTATTCATTCTCATTAATTTACGAAAGCGGCACCTATAATTATCCGGTAATATCTCAAGCGGGAATATTTTCCACACCCTTTCATAAAATATAAGATAAGGATAAAAAGAAAATTTTTAAGCAAAAATTAAGAAATAAAACATTCAATTAGCATAAAACTGATTTCTCTCGTCCCTCGGAAGAATATAATTATAATAAATCCAAATATTCCTCCACGCACAAAGAATCGAAATCCCCGATCTATCGATCCTTTTTCGTCATCCCACGTCAATTTCCCGCTCATTACAACTCCACAAATGTCCGTGCCAATTCTCTTAAGTATCCTCATAAAACGAATCCGACCAATAATGAAAGATCCTGTGCACACTTAACGCGGTTAAACAGGACAGAGACGCGAAATGTATCAATTATAAAGGCTCCGTTGATCGAATTAATCGACAACGTTCCCATCGTCGAAAATTAATTCATTACAGCATTGCATCGACGAAATCGATCAGAGGCGGTTCGATCCTCCGTTCTTTTTTTCCTTCTTTTTTTCTTTTGACACGAATCCACCGACGAAAGCGCGATGAATCGATCTCGAAAAGCATCGAGTCTCTGTGTTGCAACAACATCTTTCTCGGAGTAATTGAGATGATTACATATACGGAGTCCAAAAGCGCGAAATTAGTCGTTCGACGCGGACGATCAAAGTTGGTCGATGAGGATATTTCTTTTTTTTTTTTTTTTTTTTTGGAGAACGGATTCCGTCGCGTAAGTCGGTCGCGAAAAATTTTGAGATAACGTGGAAATTGATTGTTTCGACGTTCGTGCGTTAATGCCAGCTGCGTCATGTGGACGACAGAAAGGAGGAATTTTCAAAGTGTCGCGACCAATAATCGGGTTGATAATGATCTGACAATGTGACAGATGCACAGTGGGCAAACAGGAAATAATAATGACGTAAAAGTTGGGTATTCTTGAAATTGAAAAATTTTCGTTTGACGTGGGTCTCGGTATTGGTCGTTATTATGGCCCAGAGACCGGTCATTATCGCTCGCATGGTGGTCGTGAAAATAGTTACACGAACGTGGATTGCGCAATAGAAGGGAAAGAAAGGGAAATTCCTTTATATTCCTTGCTACTTACAATTTTTATATTTTTAATATAAAACTAAGGGAACAAAATATTAAATGTAAATCATAATCATTAATTTTCTCCTACACTATATTAATGTATTCAGAACAAAAAAGAAAAACGATCTTTCTTCGATTTCAATAACGAAATTAATTCATCAAAATTTCACGATTTAATAAATAATTGATAGGATTTGCGAAATATCGTGAACAACTTGCAAACTATTTTATTTTATCGAAGAAAAATTAACAATTTTGAAATATTTTTCCGTTTTTTTTTTTTTTTCTTTTTAAATGATCAAAGATCTATGTAAATTTGTTAATTATTATTGCATTAAAAGGATACAAACCGTGTAAACGCAACATAAATGTAACATACCTGTACAGCCGATAAGATTTACATGTAATAATACATCAGAATATAAAGTTGCTTTGAATACTTTCCCCACGATTTCCTCTATCGACAACCATCATTACTTTACACGTTTATTCCCATTGCGGGGCATCGTAATAAATAACATGGCCGTTTCAAAAATATGTACGAGACACGATG